ACATGTTCCAAAAAGCTTTACCTAAGGGCTCAGAAGCAGTAAACATTCAGCCTATTAAAAATGGGATTTWGAACCAATCTTCACACTTGCAGTCTGCAGAGTTATGGATCCAAGGGCCCAGTTTTAGTTGCTGTAAGCATGGTGGTTGTGAGGGCTGCTTTTGGTTGTTTTTGTTTGGAATACCTACAGTTCACTTCCCTGCTCACCATCAACCCTGGTTAGTTGTCATCAGTGAATCGAATGTGTTTGCTCGACTGTTGAGTCTTCTCCAGTCGCATCCTTTCAGCTTTGGCAATCAGCTGCAAACACGAAAATTTAGGTGAAAAATTAGAGGAAAATTAGATAGTTAGGATTTGACCTTATAACCATGTGTATATTCCACCCCTCCTTCCTCCCAACATGGTGGAAGACAACAAAATTGCCATTTCAAAATTGTAAAATACAGCCTCCAACAGTAAAGAACTCTATCCTTTTATTGGATTCATTTTGTTATTGATGTAGGAAAAACAAGTTAGAGCRCCAAAAAAAAWACAAACCAAACTTTAYGACTATTGTGGAATTTTAAATAGGGAAAAACCCCACACACTGCACACCACAGAAGCACCACATGAACAAAACACAGAAGCACAAAAAACCCACACGCAGAGACGATAAATAAAACCCCCACAGAAACAAATATAAACACAAACCCACTGAAGACACACACCTAACCTCCAAGACACAAAAAAACCCCCAAAGCCAGGCAAAAACATTCACACTGAAACTACAAACTCAGTAAGAACACACACACAAACCACAAAACCCACAAATCAACATAAGAATCCACCCAAAATGGCACATGGAGAAACACCACAAACCAACACAACACCACAGCTAAAGACACATAAACCCCACACAGAATCCAAGACACGTAYAGAACTCACAACTTCCCCCCAAAAAGCCACCAACTTCCTCAAAAATATAAAATAACCCAAAACCAGTAAGAAACACCAAAACCAAAAATATGCAACTTGCAAAAAAAATACCTAAATGACAAAAAATTAGCAAAAATCTCTCAAGCCCCTTGAAACAGCCCCAAATYCAATACATGAATATACCTAAAGGCACATACAAAACCCCCAAATTCCATAAAAACCAACAGTCAAAAGCATGTACAGAGCTAACAAAACACACATACAGAAACCACAAACACAAGAAACCACACAAAAATGCACTTGGGCACCACACAAAAATAAATACAGGAACACCACCAAAAAATGCCCCAAAAGCAAGACCACCACCCCACATTAAAAAAAAAAAATCTGAATAAAACCCATCGCAATTTCTCTGCTGGGGACTGCTCAAGGATATTAGCTGGTGCTATGGGGAAGGGCTGCTTCCTCACCAGGCAGTCCAATGTGCCAGATTTAAACAATTTCACACAGAAATCAAATTATTTATTACTTCTGCATACAACTCAGTCCTGCACACAGCATGGAGGTGCAGGCTGTGGTGCTGCACTCACTGTGGCAGGTAGGATTTCAGCTTCCAGCAATAAAAATGACCTAAAGATGACTAACTTTTATTCTGTGACATCTAAAAAAATAAAAATTAAAATAGTTCAACCCTAACAGGAAGCACAATGGTTTACTCATTCAGCATATGGGATGGAGAATGACAAACACAGGTAGGGAAGCTCAGAGACAGCAGCCCATGAGTATTTCTATTCCAGTGCCTCAGAATGTGCAAGAGGCCTCMAGGATTCCCATTTCCAGCTCATCAAAGTAGTATCAGCACCTATGTGTAAGCACATCACTACTGAATCCTAACAGGGATCCAGCCCTTCCATAGCCAGGAGCCTCAGGCATCACCAGGACAGTGTGGGCWGTGCCCAGACATTCCCACTATTCTCCTTTTCCATATATCCTGCAAATTATTCCTCCCTTCACAAATACTCAATTCTCACTTCCTCACCAAATGCCTTTCACTTCTACCACTCCTCCCACCCTCTTAAACTTCCTCCTTCCCGTGTGCAAGGGCATCCAAGGTGCAAAGGAAGCTGAGCAGCACCTCCCCCCAGGAGCCAAGGATGCAAGTGGAAAGCTTGCAGGCACTCACGCCTTGGCTTTGGCAAGCCCAGACTCCACTCGGTCTGGAGTTGAAGGCTACAGACTGATGAATTGCTTTAGGTCTGAATAAAGTGGCACTGCCCTAAAAAGCAGTACTGGCTGGGAGGTTTTCCATCGGTATCAGTAAATCACGGAGGTGGTGTTATCAGGCAGTTAAACAGACAAAAGGGAAGATGGATTGGGAAGGGGGGGCAGAGGGGAGCAGAGAAGTGACAATGAACCAGGCCTGGGGCAAAGACACTGAACACCTTTTTTACTCCAAAACAAGGCCAGGCCTTTTCTGAGGAACCTTGGGATATCCCATCTCTTTTGCACATCTATTTTATTATAGGATCTGTGCCAGAGGAACATTAATCTCTATCACTTGCTTTGGTTTTGGGTACTGCACCAACCATCTGCTGAAGTGACCCTTAACTCTTATCCTGAGGAAAGCTAAGCAGACCTCTTCTCTTTAGAAAAGAGGAATTTCAAACTGCCTAAACTCAAAGCTGTGTGCTGCCTCGGATGGGATGCAGTCCATGCATTTCAATACTGATTGAAAGAAAATATAAGATGCCTGAATTCCAACATCCATTCCAAGCAGSTAACAGGCAAAAGCTCCACTTCAAAATCTTGTAAGGGATTTCAAAACCTTATTAACARGATAGACCTTGACAGGAAAGGTACACTAATGGCATATTTCACTGAAGATGTTTAATTATGAATTATTACATTGCTTTTTTCTACCTTAGTGACCTTCAAAAGAAATCACTTTGGAAGTACTAAGGAAAAAATTTCAAATAAGAAAATATTAATGAAAACTTTTTTTTAAAATTATCAGTCTCTATTTCAGGAATACAGCCTGTCAAAAAGAAAGGAAAGGGTTAAGATTTACTGACTGCAGCCAGGCATTCTTGTCTTGATGTTTTGCTTAACAGTGTTAGCATTTAAATAGAATTCCCRGGGCTTTGAAGTTCACACCTCCCGGTGTGGCAAGGTGATGGGCAGGGGGAAGGAGCAGGAGTTTGCATCCTTGTGCTGCCATTGTTAGGCAGAACTGAGACAGTTTGTATTTGCAAGCCTAGATGAGGTACATTACTGCCCAATTTACACCAGTTTGGTCAACAAATACCAGTCTTCAAAAGATGAACAAGGGAAACTTGAGAGCAAGGGCTCCTGCAGTCAAAATTCAAGTCAAAGGTCCCTGGCACCTTTGGTTTCAAAAAGTAAAAGTATATTAAAAAAACAAACCTGGCAGCACTCAGAAAAATGGTCTATAGCTGCAGTTTTCAAATTCCCTTTCTGTTTGTATTAAAGAATAATGGCYTGAGTCAATGGCATTTTTAGGCTTTTAAGAAAATTAAATTAGACCATTGGGCAAATTCTTTAGGCACAYCTTTGCTTGAAAAAACTGATTTGTCTTCGGGATCCCTGAAAGAACATTCACACAAACAGGGCAAGAGGTGCAAAATATGCCTTGTACAACATAAGGTTTTCACCTGTACCACTGCTGTTCCTTTAGGCCAAGGAAATATTTATTTTCCATCATATATGGGATAATATTTTTTTTCCTAGCATCCAGGAAACAAAGAGTCTCCAAAGTCATCAACAAATAATTAAGGTCAGATGATTCTGGAGTTTTGCAAGCTACAGCAGAAAAAATTCAGGCAAAAGCCAAGTCAGAATCCTTATCTGGAATGTGTGTGAAGCAAACCTGGCAATAAAACGTCTGTGAAATACTCTCTGGCTCCTCTCTGTCAGGTCAGGGATCTGACTGGCTTAATCAAGGAACCCTTCATGCCTGGAAGATCTGCTGGGGCTGGAGCAGAGGCTGCACACTGCAAGTTCATTGCAACACTCCTGCAGTGCTGCAGCCCCACAGGCACATGGAGAAGGCTGCAATTTCCCAGTTTGGATCTGGAAGCTGTACAGTTACAGCTCTGCATGCTTGCAGCAGCATCAGATTGGTCAGAGAACAGTCACACCAGTGCACAGGCTCCTGACCTCACTGGGAACACCCCAGCATTCACCAGAGCACAGAACTGTGCACGATTCAAATTGTGTTCATCATCACAAAAATAATTCATTCTCAAGAAAATGATTTTCTGGACTCTGCTAGAGATTTAAGGGTATAGCACTAGATTTGACTTCACTAGAGCACATCAAGACTACTTAACTTATTAAYGAGCTCATCCAGACAGGGTATGAAAAGCAATCCAGCTTACAAATTAAGTTCAGGCCTTTACTCATGGACTTAATTTTCTCCAGTTGTAGTTGTAAAGACAAGCCTTGCACTTGTCAACTGGACCAGGAAAACCCCACTCCCTGCTTTGTGGCTGTAAAACCCTGCTGCCAAGTCACTACTACGTGATTTAACAGAATTAAATACACAGTCAGAGAATCCAGAAACATAAAGCAATGCAGAAAGACTCATGTTTGCAACCATGGCTGTAGAAGAAAAACRTGATTTGCAGGTTACCTTCTCAGTACCCCGTTTCTTTTCCCGAGGYTGGTTCAGCTTAGCTTGTCTGTCCACTAAAATCTTCTGCCAGTAACGCTGTTCATTGTCACCTTGGGGAAAAATTGACATTGAGAAATGTCAATAAAAGTAGCCACGGGAAGTGGATGAAATCTGTTCTTAGATAAACACCTGTAGGGAAACCCAACAACTATTTCCCCAGCAGTCTTAAATTTCTTACCCACAAAAGTCATACAGAATTGAACTCGACATGTCATCAGCAAAAGGAGCCAAGTTWTAGCTGAAGTTTCACCCCAGCACAAGGAAGCCCCTTTAATTTACTGATCCACTCAACCTCTGGCTCCTTTTAAATAACTACTAAACAAGAGGGAAAAAAAAGTAATTACTATAAGAATAAATGAGACTATTTTGTTTCATGAAAATCATTGCCTGGGGGCTTCCATGAGCAGTCAGGAATATTTGAGCATGGGTAGCAAYACAAAAGCAAATAATTCTGCAGCTTTTCTCAGCAGCTGCTTTGCAGGCAAGCAGCAGTTTGCCACTGTTCCTTCTGATTTGTGATGGAATTATCACAATGGGAATTCTGTGACATCATTTTGCATGGTCTCAGGGCTCATCTTCAGCTACACTGAAGTTTCTGAATCATCTTGGAAAAGATTCCTGCAAAAGTTCACATCTAARCATGATCACAGACGCTTACCATCTTGCCAGATGCCAAGCTGAAGATACTTAAAGTCAAATCCTGAAGAGTAAAGTACTACTGGGAAATCTTTAGTMCCCACTGTAGGGAGCATTAAAGATTCTTTCCTTTTTATCTCTCACCTTCTGGCACCAAGAAAARACAAAAATCCTGACTGTGAGTTCCTGGAAAGATTTTCCATTCTCATTTCAATGAGCCAGTTAGAAAAAAAAAAATTCTTAAGACTATGAATGGAATGCTCCTACAATGTAGTACTTACTCCTAATCTCACACTACACTCTTATGTAAGGATACAAAACCAGAGAAAAGCAGATACAGAGCTGTAAAACAAAATTTGAGGTTATTTCTGAATCTCTGAAACACYGAGCACGCTGGAGACAAATCTATCTCCAAATGACATTAGCAGCACTCAGTGAGTCTCAACTTCAATTAACTTTGATATCATCATGAAGGTTAATGCTTCCATCAAAGCTTTTCCTTTTGCAATCCTTAACTGGCCTTTTGGGAACTCTACATCCCTGCACCACCAGATTTGGCCCCATATGAGGATTTGTGCAAGAGTAGGGAAAAATAAATACACAAATGAGGCAGTCTCATATTGTTCAACCAAGGGTTTTTTTGCACATTTAGATTTTTTGGTGCATCTCTCAAACATACAAGTTTTATGAATCCACCAAGTATGAAAGCTTCTCCTTTTTTCTATCCCTCAATTCCATAAGAGGCTTCTCTACACTTGGCAAACTAATCCAGTGTAATACAAGATAYGAATTTAGAATAACACAGAAATTTCAGAAAGAAATAACACACATTAAAACGAAATGCAAAAATAGAGCCCGCAAAAACTTTTGTGTAAATATGTTAAAAAAAAAAAAAAGGTTATTCTGGCCTAAATTATTCAACTTCCTGAAAAATCAAGATCAATTAGTAGGTAAGTGCTAAACCCACTTTAGGCATATCCATGCTGTYAGATCCTTGCAAAGTCACTTCACACATATGCTCAGTATTTTCAAGAAAGTCTTCCTTTAAAATCTTTTGCATTAGCAGAATGTTCTATTCATAAAGCTGAAATGTGAATTAAATTTTATAGTCCATTGCCACTGAAAGTGAAGCAAATCYCTCTAAAAAGAACAAAATTTGGTTTGTAATAGCAAGCAAAAAAATCATTATTTTGCTCTGAATGGTGGCATTAAACTTCTTTTAGTTTTGCCAATTGCACAGGACTTGGAAGATGAAAAGACTCACAGAAGAAAAACAAACTAATACTCCATCTCTTCCCCCAAGGTATTTAAATATATCCATAAATTCAACAAGAATGAGCCCCTTTAAGGCTTCTCCTGTACTTCCATAAAAAAAAAGAAGTCTTACCAGTGAGAACTTCAAATTTCCAGTTGTTTTTGATCTGTATCTCTTTGTGTGATCTCATAACAATCTGTGCATCCTCAGGAGTCTTAAAACGGACGTGGCATTCGGTGTCTCCCTCCAGCATGTCAACATAAGCCACCTCAGCCAGCACTGCCAGAGCATCCTGTCAAAGCATCAGACAACAAACACCATAAATCAGCCTTCAAAAAGACAATATAAAAAGAGGGACTTTTGACCATTCCATTTGGAGGTCATTAACATTTTCAAAAAGGTCGTGATGTAGGAGGCAGTAACTGAACTTTGTCATTTAATCGATCAATCTGTTGTCAAAGAGCTCTGAATTAACATATTTTCCTAAGAAGGTTATAACTGAATTCTGATTTATGAGCCTACAACATCTACCCATCTATCTCTCATCCTGCCCTCCATCAACAATTTAAAGCAGTCGTTCCTGGAAATGTTGTGGGGTTTTTTGCGTTAAGTATAATTTTACTACTSGAGCATCATCCATTTATTTCAACACTCTGATGCTTTTCAAAAGTAATAATTGTGTACCTTAACATTGATAAATCTCAGCCYATCAGAAAAATATCAGACTTGATTTACAGATTAATGTATAAAACCAAGATCATTCATGGCAGATTATTTGAGAAATGAGTAGTGGTAAAACAAGTCGATCTTTATGAAGTGACCTCTGCCTGGAAATTTGCACTGACAGTTGAAGGAAGAAGAGTCACAAATGCTCTTGCAGATGAAGTACTTGTCTTGTAATTCCTGCTGTTAGGGAAATTAAGTAGGACCACACATTCCTAGTCAATTTTGYTCACAGCAGGCAGCTCAAGTAAGATGCTTCTATTCAGGAATCACATACTGCTTTTAACCCTCCACTACCAAGGGCAGCCTTAAACAAAACAAAAATTAAGTGACAACACTGTTATCATCATCTSAGAGCCAACAAAAGCTACTCTTCAGCTTTATTCTGTTATCCCAGAGTCATGATTTCTGAAAAACTAAAACAAARCAAATACTTCCCTGGAGCTGGCAAAAATTAGTAGCTCTGACAAGCACCTTAAGAGCAAAACAGGAAAGCAGTGGAGTGTAAAATTAAAACATCAAAATAATATCTAAACTACAATGCAAAGACCTTTCCAGGTTCTGTGACACAYATAACTGTTTCCATAAAATGAGAAATGCAGATCAGTTGTGGAAGTTTGAGGGGAAAAAAGCCCCAGAAGCATTGCTTTGTGGCAGTTGGCTGCAGATGACAGTCCAGTAATCCAGTAACACCACAAGCCAGCTTTGGTTGCAATTCTGCCTTCCACAGAGTTATACAACTTGTATGGCCAGAAAAACAAAACCATTTTAAAAAACTTAAAAAAACGAAATAAGTACGTTTTCTGTTATTTAAGTAGTAAGCTTTCCTTTTATTCACAATATATTAAGGTGTGACACAAACTAAACACAGTGAGTTGTATCCTGCAGTCAAAGAGAGCCTCAGAGGTTACAGGGACAACTTGTGCCACATTCTCTGTGTCTCCAGCATTCAGACAGCTTAAAACTGGTATTTTCCTTAAAAAGAAATATTCTACTCAATGTGTGTAGTTGTGTTGTGTCATCACACAAAACTGAAGGTATACAATTCGACAAAAATGAGCACTTCTATTTGGTAAAAAGTGACTGAATCAACAAGTTCCACTGCTGTCACTCTCCCTCAAATGGAGCTTTTGTCATTGTAAAATTCTTACTGAAAGAAAGAAAATTGGTTTCTCATGCAGAGGGCGTTTTTCTGCCTCCAGATTGCTGTTAATGATACAAACACCATAAACTTTAAAAAGACCCCATATATACACTTTTATAGCTCTCTTGTCAGGATGACTGGCACAGTGACAGATACAGAGCACTGCAGCAGACTCCAGCTCCTTTTTTTAAACTGGAAAGCAGTAGAACATTCCTTCTTTCCCTCCATATTTTCATTAYCAACTTGACATTGCTCAAAGCACACTAAAGGTGTGGTTTCACTTTGAAACATCCTCCTTTGCCTATTTTGCCATTGAAAAATCTGCCATTAACATATACTAAAAAAGAATCTCTACACAGCTACTGGCCCAACAGTTAAAAAAAAAAAAAATCAGCAAGACTGGGTGAAATGGTGCTCCATATTCAAACATTTGGGGGGCAGGGTAAGAGGAAAGGCTAACAGCTACCCTGAGGTTACAAAGGCATTACCTTGATCTGCTTCCTGCCCGGCAGGGGCTCGGTGCTAATGATCTTCACAATTACTCCGCTGACGAACTGAGGCCCCATTGTGTTGGCCTTGGCGGGAGGGGCACAATCTTCACTGGTGGCTGGTCAAGTTAAAAACCGGGGAGGGGGGATGGGGGTGGAATAGAAACAAATTTTTACACTTATTAGGTTGAAAAAAATTAAGAAATTATGAAAGTAACATAATGTTAACAAGCATCTGATACTGTTACTAAAGATCGAGTCTTTTAAAATCACAGATAAAGATTATCCATAGGTCGAATTTAATTTAAAAAAAAACCTTCAAGAAAACGTCTTAGAGAATTTTTTACAGTCCACAGCCTCTTCCTATAAGAATATTTTGTATTGTACTGATTATAGTGTATAGTAACCCCTCAGTTCCACCATAACTAAAAACATGCAAAAGGCCATTGGAACATCAGTGCTGAAGTTAGTGAAGAAAAGCACAGAGCATTCAGAGCAAAAAAAAAAGAAATACAACTTTGAGACCATAATTACAAAGCTCCTCTTATCCATAGAGATAATAAAGCCCAATTTAAAACTGTTCTTTTAAATACCTTTGGAACAGTTAAACCCAAGCAGGTCAGGCCCGAGCTGTAGCACAAAAAAAGCTGATGTTTGATTTACCTGTCTGAGGCTTTATAATTACAATTACCTAAAAAGATCTGTAAGCCTAAGAAGTGCTACTGAAATATGCTGAAATAATTTGTTTAGTCTTTATTAATAAAACTTTCTATATATAAATCCCAAATTTATTCAAATACAGGGAGGGGTTTGCTTTTACTATCTGACATTTYGAGAAAACCCCAGTATTTTACAAAATAAAGTCTCGTAGCAGTGTTTCTGCAAATTTAGGGTCTTGCACCACTTCTGCTTGCATACTAGAAACATGAAGTAAAACAAAACAAAAGCCCGGATTACTTTTGTCATTTTCAGATTTCTGCACACCAGATTCTGTTTCCATCTCTCCCACGGGCTCGGGTTTAATTTGAGACATCGTTTTTTTCAAGGAGGCCATACTGGCTTTCTGCAGGGCCAAATATTCTTGCTTCAAATCCATCCATTCGGTCCTAAAAGCAGCAACACAGGCACAGCACATCASTTGTAAACAAGAAACTAATGTTGAGAAACTCAACGACAATTKAACAGCTTTAGCTGGACTTGGTGAACAGTGCCAACCATTCTGCCACTGAAGATTTTCCTGTACTTTACAAATCAAATGGTCCCCAACTTAATTTCCCATGACTTCAGATTTTAATAATTCAAGAGAGTTGCAACAGTATCAAACTATGATTCCAACAGAGTGATTTGCAAATTTGCTTTAAACATTCAGACAGTATAGAGAACAGTTTGGTAAACTGTGTTTTCCACTGGAACTAGGCAGAGCACAGGCACTAAATTCAGAGTTAATTCAGAGACAGTGAACTCTCAATTCACTGAATTAGTTCAGTGAACCAGCTCCTGTGTCACTATATTAAGAATCAGTCATTCATTTTCTAGAAAAAAATCATTGATGGAAAATCAACAACTGGTTAAACTCACCAAAAACCTACTGAGATAAGGACATTCCTCACTATTTAAATGCATTTCGGTTAAAAAATACCCCCCCATGGAAGCAATTTATATATTTACATACATTTAACATGGAGATGTTTCTGCAAACAGCCAGAGCTTTGCTCCACAGCAACACAATGCCCGCAGTGCCACTGTGAGAACGACTCATTGTTACCCTAATCTGTGCTATCAAACAAGCTGATAGAGGATTTTTAAAGAGGAGGATATCTTGTGGTAATGGTTTTAGCTGTTAACAGTGACAACTGTATACTTCAAAAAAGCATCCAGACTCACCCAGGATCATACATTCTCAACAGAGCAARGGCATTAAAATAACAAAAGACCCACGTAATGATTCTTGGGAGATAAAAAGGCAACACCATCCCATAGCTAAGTTTGGTATAAATACAAGCCCAAGGAGGTACTTGGTAACTCAAAGGAAGAGGAGACCATGGAGAATGAGTCAGGCAAGTACTTGCGATGCTTATACACTCCTTAAAGTTCTTTTTACCCTTTTGCTACAGTTGAATAATATTAAACTAAATTTCTGTTTGTTGCAGTTTGCTCAGCATGCCGGTGGCAGGAGACAAGCACCGTCGATAACCAGCTTTATTTTTTTTTTGCGTGGACCCCTTTTACTTTAACATGGAGGTGCTTTCTGTAATATAGAAAAAGTAAGTGCTTCCATGTTTTAGTAGAGGTGAATCCTGATCGCAATCCTGAAACGCCAGCCAGGATTATATTTTTTTTTTGGCCTGCACGTTTTGAGATCCGGGAAAAAAGTTTTGGTGCGAACAGATCTTCTCCAAGTGCTACATAAGTGGTTTAAATCAATTTAAAGCGATTTTTAATTTTAAAGGACTCCCCTTTGCTTTAACATGGAGGTACCTGCTGCCTAAAAAAGTAAGTGCTTCCATGTTTCAGTGGCGGTGGATCCTAATCTTCAAATGCTTCTAAAAAAATGAACATGCATGTTTTCTTATACTGTATTTTTAAAAGTTATCCGTAGTTTCTGACCAAAGGACCCCCACAACTTAAATGTGGATGTACTTGCTTTGCTCCACAATAGTAAGTGCTTCCATGTTTTAGTGGTGGTGAATCCTCTTCACATCAACAATTCCCTCTGGAAATGTATCATGTCATCAAATGTTTCTATATAAACTACAATTTTGCAGCAAAAAACGGCGAGGACCCCCTCTACTTTAACATGGAGGTACTTGCTGGATGCCTAAAAAGTAAGTGCTTCCATGTTTTAGTTGCGGTGACTCCTAAAAGCCCAACACTTTTAGATTATTAATATTTTTAAGAATTAAACTCTGATATTTGAATCTTTTTGCTACAGGCTAATACTGTTGCTAATATGCAACTCTGTTGTATGAACATTGGAATTGCACTTTAGCAATGGTGATGGACTGTCAGACATACCAAGACTTAAAAAATAAACAATTCCTAAGGTTTGAAATACTTTAACTAAAAGTAAAGCAAATTTTTGAAGCAATAAATGTCAAGCATTCAAATCACGACTCAAATCTTTCTTACAACTGACACACTCCATACTGCAGAAAAAACAGCTTTAAAACATTTAAACAAAAATGTGGTGCCACAAAGAAAACACAATTCACAAGACCCCCCCTAAGGTAAAATTGAATTGTACTAAACCATAAAATCAGACAACCCAACACAAACCTAAATTAATAAAAAAGGCTTTTACATAATTACTGAAAGTGTGACAAATGGAAAAATTGAGGTTTTTGTTAGTTTTATCATGTACTGTTAATAAAAAAAAAACCCTCATTGTTGTCATGAGAAATGGTAATGTTACATCACCTACTTGGAGAGTACTCTGAGTGGAATCACCTCTTCACCCATTTTGTGTCGTTCTTTGTGTTTTTTCTTGTGTTTCCTTTTAGATTTGGAAAGGGATGTGTCTTTTTTGTCTTTATCTTCCTCTGCAGAAACTTCAACATCTAACAGTCCAAATAAAAACATGTTTAATTCTGTCCCAATGAAGGCTTTTTTCAATAAAATCACATTCAGTATCTATTGGTTCTTTGTATTAATTACTTCTAGTCCAGCTCATCAACTACCAAAGTTTACTCTCCTTATCACACTGAAATTAATTTCAATGCAGCTCTTCTTATCTCATGGGACAAATTGGGATCTTTACTTTTCCCTTTTGTATTTTAATTATTTATCTAGATTCCTGTTGTCTCCATTTGCTCAAGCTCTCTGTTTAACCCATACTTTACCTCACTCAAGTTTTACTGAAATGAAAACCTTTGATCTATTTTTACTTCTGATTAGATTTACCTGCATTGGTGTTGCAACTTCTTCATTATTSTGCATGTAGCTCCTCTTCTTGGAATGACTCCTCACCAGGTTTAAATTTAACTACTGGGAACACTTAATATGCCTGGAGCTGACCTAATTCCACCACTATACCCAGCCTAACTCATCATCCCTAAATGATATCTGCTATTCCACTTCATTTATGCAAGAAAATCCACGGTAATAAAAAGGCCAGACTTTTTACCATTGGAATCTTTTGGAGCTTCTTCGGTTGTTTCTTCTTTGAGTGTTTCAACTTCATCTTTTTCAGCAGTTTTCTTGACTTTTGGAGCTGATGCTTCACCATCTCCTGAGCTGGCTCGTTTTCTYTTTCCTGGCCTGCTTTCCCAGGTTACCTCTGAGCTTTCTGCTCTGTCCCATTTCCTTTTCTCCCTTTTTGAGGGCTGCTTGGGAGTCTCAGTTCCCTCCATCTCAGAACACTCTGATGGAGTCCTTTGTCTTTTAGACTTGGGTACTGGCTCTGTTGTAGTGTTTGTGCTTGATTCCTTTGGCTCTGCAGCTGCCTGTGCATTGCTGTCTTTCTTGATTTTGGATTTCTTTTTTTTCTTCTTTTTCTTCTCTTCTGGATAAAAAMCACAATATTAAAAATTGCCCATGATTAACCACTAGATTAGATTAACCTAAACAATCATGACAGCACACACCACGATAAAACTGGGTTGTTAAATGAGAAGGTTGTCTCTGGCATTTCTATGGGAGAGATTCAACACTGACAAATAGTTTTCCCTGAGTTTTTTACAAAGTGAAAAAAAAAGTGGGTGGAAAGCAGGGTTTGAAAATCATGGATTTGATTTCAGTTTTTTGTTTCCACTAATAGTTACTGGTATAACAAAGAACTGATCACAATTTTGAGGAATATTAACATGATTTATCACTAAGCTTAAAAGACTGGAAGATGTCTGAACTCTGGCAAATTGTATTACACCATCAGAAATGAGGGAAAATGTTTCAATGATGAAGTTGAATCATAGTCCTGTGATACTTGCTCATAAACTACAGTAGATTTTACATAATTTAAGCCTATACTGGCCAAACACACCGACATATTATTTTTATAAGAAGTTTTTAAGAAACATGAAATGAAACTGCAGTAACACAGCAGCTGARAAGTCTCTCTTCAGAAGCTGAGGCACAAAACTGATCCAAATAACAATACTTTGATCCCAATAACTTAGTAATACATACCTACTACAGTGTTATCACTTGAATTCAGTGTAGGAACTGGTTTATTCTTCACTGTTTTGGGGAAAATCCCMGGTTTCCGTGGTGCTTCTTCTGGTGGATTATTCAAAAACTTAAACAAGGAAAATGAAAACCACATACCATTACTAAAAATACTTTCTTTAAAGATGTTGCATTCCAGTTAATACTAACAGTCCTCATCATATTTCAATACRTAAATACTTCCAAATCACATTTAAATACAAAAAAATTATGTATGACCACAATTTAATGATCATTTCACTGTTACACAGACATCTCTTTCACAAAGAGTGACCAACCAAAAAAAAAACCATTATATTTCTACTAAATCTTCATGTTCCTATTAATAGAATTAAATACTTAAAGAATTGTGGAACTGATKGTAGGTCTGGGAGTAGGAAAGAGTAACATAACTCCTGTTAARTGAAGCTTTTTAATGATGGTATTTTAGGAATTTCTGTAAGATTCAGTAGGTGACCTAGTAAAGAGCACACCATTTATATCACAATGTGACACCAGGAACAATGTCAGCAGCAGGAGCACCAGCACTCACCTCAATGGCTTTCTCTGCTTGTTCTTTAGTTTCAAATTCAACAAAAGCAAAGCCCTTTGGATCACCAGTACTTCTATACCGGGGGATACTGATGTAAACTACATTGCCACACTTCCCAAACACCCGCTCRATCCAACTGTGATTGACATTTTTGGGAAGCAGCTCCTAAAGGATAAAAAAAAATAAATAGAAGTTTGATGTCCAAATGTTGAGAGTCTTAGTATCCAGGTAGTAAACAGTGACTCGAGAACAGATCTCTAATCATTCATGTACCTACAACAAATACATTATATATTTAATTTAGATGCTTATTTCCTGTGACACCAAAACCTGCAGCTGCATCTTTGCAAGACAAAGTATCTTGGTAAATTTAAAGCCTTGGAGCAAATACAACACTGACCTGTCCCAAACCACCCTCTGCAAAGCACAAGGAATTCTTTTTAATTGGTGGTAATGCAGGTATCACAAAGATTTCTTACAGGCCAGTAAAGAAATAAAAACTTACACCAGTAGTCAATATTTTCAAGTTGAATAGTTAWCACTGAGAGCTCAATTCATCAGACGAGCAGAAACTTTTACACAGCTTCTTGGACAACAAAACTGTTTAATTTTTACTTCTGTAAAGTCCTCAATGCAGCAACAGATTTTAGCAGCTTATGGACATCGTATCTGAGTTGTTTTCCACTCCCCAGTCAAAAACAAATCGTGTCACACCAATTTCTAACRTGACCAAACTGAARCATTTGAAAATYCCACTCTCAAATTCATGCCYAAACAACAGCAGTGTTSYATTTTTTGCACTGTTAGTTACTGGACTATAAGGTTTTCCATGTAGCGGAATATTTATCAGTTCAGAATCCCTTTTTACATGAACTTTGCCATGGTTTGGCATTAAGCTGAAAAGCCAGTTACTTCAAGTTTTAAAAATTTAATGGGCTAAGTGCAAAAATAATAGTGTAATAGYGAAGTCTGTGTTAAACCATATAAAAAAAGTCACATTGTTCTAGAGAAATTTAACTTACCAAGCTTGGACTACTTCTACTGTCCCCATTGCCATATACCAGCTATTTACAAAACATTTAGCCAAATGCTTCAGCTCTGTATAGACACTGTAGCTCACAACAGTAGAATATTTTATCCAAAAATGACACAAAGTATTTCAGAGTTCTAAGCAGCCCCTGTAATCATCCTAGCAAAATACTATGTCTGGCACATTGCATTAAAAAAACAAAACCCAACCACCTTTTCCGGGTTTTTGTTAAGGAAGGAATTGTCAGAGCAATTCAGTTTCTGCTTATCTGGGTGGGCTGGCATTTCGGCCATGATTAGGGTGTATCTTTATCACAGAAAATTCAGCACTGTCTGGAAAATCTGGAAAATACTAATTCAGCTGCTAATAACCACAGATACATAGCAAAACTTATACTAGTCATAAAAAGCTATCTTTAGACACAAAGCAAATTCCACACTGGCTTGAAATCTAATTTAAAAAAAATTGTCCAAGGTTTACACAACAGCTCAACCATCAGATTTCTTTCCAAGTTACCACTTAAGTGGCTCCACAACATAACAGCTTTTTCACTCTGACACAGCTGAAATACCATGGTGAGATGCAGACTTAACCCATCAGCATAAGCTATTTTCATTTAAATTAAGGAACCATTCCAGTATCAAGGTAGCCACAGGACAGTGTGTTACTAGGAGGGTTGTTAAAATTTTTCAGCTCTGTTCTGCCTTTAAAAGAAAGGTGTTTGTGTGTACAAAACCAGAGGCACTTGCAGTAACAGATCTTATAGACAAATAATGCTGCCTAAAGTATCCTGATAAACTGGGGATCTTGATAAACTTGGTAAACAGCTAGATCCTGCTTGATGAAACTAATTAAGTTGTTATTAGAAAGCTTTAACTACATTAATGTAATTAGTAAATATTTCTTAGTACCACCGGGGCTTCTCTAATGGCATTAAAAAAACCCAGTGAACACAGCAATGGCTCAATGAAATTGCACCTTTTCAGCGCGGGAAGCAGCATTTAAAAGGATTTAAGCTGGCACAAAAAATCCGTGCACCAAACTAAGCCCTTTCTTGCCACAATGACTCTCAGCTCTTGCTCACCTGCTTTTTCTTAATTAATTTCTTTTCCCTCTGCTGCACAATCAGCAGCAGCCAAAATTCCTGATGCCCAAATGGAGTTTCCATAGTTAGGAACAACAGGCAGGGACACACACAAGTCCAGCCTTACCACATAGACAGTCCGACTGTCCACGTCCTTCGGGCGCTCACCCAGAGGCTGCCGTCTCCTGATCCTGGTTCCTTCCAAGTCCARCTWAAAGTAAGGAGAAATGRGAATTTTCCATGAGATTATTGCCTACTTCAGCATCTCTACTACTACTTTTCCAGAAGTAGAAAACACAGAAGGGTGAGATGTTAAATACCTCTACAACAGATGAACTTTTAACTGCTCGAGCRATCAGCTTCCCATCAGTAGTCAATTTTTTCATTTTGTTGAAAGAAACAAGAAGTGATATATCAACATCTAGAGGAAAAAAAAGAAATGTAAATTATGAAATCAGGGTGATGTGTTCTACTTCACTAGACTACAATCTGCAAGTTCTAAGTGCAGTATTTAACCAAGGCTTCACAGAAAATTTTTATCATCAACACTGAAGTTTCAAGTACACCTATATTTAATTTTCTTTTGTGCTAACCTTTATCAAAGGAATTTTGKTCTTTTACCTCTCCACTGATAACTGTTGTCTTTGAAAAGAAAGGAAGAAAAYCCCCCTTTCTGATGTAGTTTTACAGCACAAAACCAATTTGCATTGAAAACATGCCTCTTCTTCAAGTACTCAATTGAGTACTTAACCCAGGGCTGCCAACACAAAGAGCCCCTGCTTGCACTTCAGTTGCAACCAGTGATGCTGCTAAAACCTTGACAGAGAATTATGTAGCACTAGTCTTAATAAACATTTAGACATTTCTAATGTCTACATGTCTAGAAAAATGTTTCACATCTCCAGAAAATGTAGGATAAATTTTACTTATTAAGTTATTAATAACTTAAGGGGGTCCTCACAAAGTCCAAACAACCACAGTAAAAACTGTCTGAAAAGACTCAAAGTAACCCTACACACAAATATTACATTTCTAATCAAACTCATAGAGAAAAAAATCTAATCAACAAATTAGAGTGATATTTTAATTTCTGTATTTATTTACACTGCAAAACAAATACAGTACATCTGAGGGCAAAATTACTTTTGTTCGCTTGTTCTTAAAATTACACAAAGATAGAAAATCAGGGCTACCAAAACATCACTTCTGCTTTGGCAGATGTCTTTAACTTAGGCCTGATATGACGAGAAAAGAGAAAATAAAATTTTGAAAATCTAGTACTAGTTCTGCCTCCTGAGCTGCTGCTGATGATTTGCAGTATGGAGCAGGTGCCTTTTACCTGACCTTTACCACACACCTCAGAATAACCTGTCACTGTTACCAGCAATACAGCAAAGCACAAAGTGAAACAATCTTATTTGCTGAAAATAAACTTACACCCATCTCTGGACTTCTCGATTTGTTCTCGAAGAAATCTGTCTTTGTGGAGGTTAACATCACCAAACCAGAAATCCACTTGCTTGGCTATATCTGCCAGCACCTGTTTAACTCTTGACCTCTTCTTCTTCTCTCTTTCCTTTTTCTGCTCAGTGGTTTCTTCTTCCATGGCTTTGTCTCTCTCCGTTTCACTCTCCATTCCTGTCATTCTGTCAAACAAGAGGTAAACATCATCTTAGAAAAACAAAAGTCTTATTTCACTGAATAAATATTCTTGTTTAATCTTCTGGCCTCTTAACAGAAAAGCAAGTTACTCGCTAAAAGGAGTCTATAACAACTAAAGCTGAAAACTAGATGATTTTCCTCCTCATAAACACCTTTTTCTAAGAACTGAAAGAGATAAATAATTATTCCTCCACTCCCACTAATTCCCAGTACAAACCATGAAAAAGATCACACACAAAACACTGCACTGCACGCTTCAAAAACCAATCTTGCATTAATTAACCTTGAACRTGGCATATCTGGTAATAGCAAGGTTTAAAAAAATTGTCTTTATTATGTCAAAAATGCAAACCACTCAATCCATCAGCTGCCAAGGCCCTGCCCAAGAGCAGTAATTCAATAAAGTGTCTCTGATTCTAATGGCAAACCAAGGCCTGTCAGAACTCCAGAATCACATCCCTGAAAATAAACACTAACTAGAAGCAAGTGAYGTAATATACAGATTTATCTTGAAAAATATAAAGTCTTTTTAATGCATCAATTCATCTCTTTTGTTCACATTTCAATTCGCTGCAGTTGAAAACTGCCAGTCACCACTTCAGTACCTCATTTCACACAAGCAAAACAAAGCACTGCTGCCAGAGGCAGACGGCTTTTGGAAAATTAAATTAACACAAAAATTAAAGTAATTAATGTTGCAATCACCATATGAAWGACTTCTCAGCTCTCTGCCAAGGCAGTAGAGAGGGAAACGTGAACACAGCCATCAGAGAGGAAGCCCACCTCGACACCAGGATGGCAAAATGGAAATGGTCCCCAAATTATTGTGCAAATCAGGCTTCCTCAGCCGGAGATCAGTTTCTCCTCTGCACTGTGAGCTGATGACTCAAGACAGTGAAAGGTCAGCAACTACCTTGGAAAGATAAGCCAGGTAAAACTGCTCAGCAAGTTCAAGCTCCACTCCAGCAAATTATATCAACTATATATCAATTATATCAACTATATCCAGTATATAATATCAACTATTACTATGTACACAAAGATCCAATTAATTAATGTAGCAATCTCCATATGCCAAGGCATAAGGCAGTCTGTAGTTTTCACATGTCAACTCACTGCCAGCACTGATACACAATTAAAATCAGAACAAAGCAAAAGCAGGGTCAAAACTTCACRGTGATAAAGCAAAAAATCTCCTCAAAAGGAGTAAAATTGCAGTGCCTCTATGTGCCAAAGTGAAACCAGTARAAGGAGGGACAATTAAAGGGGAAAGGAACTTTAGGAAAGCAAAGATAACACAAATCAAAATAACATAGCTCCATACCCATCTACAGAAACTCATCTAGGCTCAAAAAAATTAAAGTTGTCAGTGCTAACCCCTATCCAACCCCAATTTCTATTACTGTAAACATCTAGAAAACATAATAAAACTCAACTGTAATACAAGGTCTGGAAGAAACAGRGTGCAGACATAAAATATACTTTATTCTTTCAAGCATTAATGCAAATGTTTGTTTGATTTGGGCATTTAAAAAAAGGTAAATGGGGCAATAGGGGATGAGGGAGAAAAAAATAAGAATTGAAAATACTTCATTTACTATGAAAATGTTTTTGTATRGTCAGTGGCAGCCCTAGGTGTGTACTGTGGAATAAATGCAAGTACTCTGCAAACCTGAAAGTACTTAAAAAGTCACATCCTGTAACAMTTTTACACCAATACAGATACAGGCAGAGCTGCAGAAGTGAGGTTCCTGCCCTGCCCTGAAACTTCTCTCTATGCAAAGCGAGGTAAGAAAGGACAGSAGTTAATACATGGAGGCCTGCAAAAATATCTTAACCTAAAAACAAAGAACCTTCTGTTTTCCCCATGCATTTTAAGCAATGAAACCACTRTTATTTTAAACGCAGTTTTAAGGCATTTAATACATTTCATGAAACTAGTGTGCCCACAGACAGAAAAAACTTTGCTTCCACTTGACAGCGCTGACTGTTAAGACCATTCCCACACATAGGGAGATCCCTGTGTGTCAGCTGTGCCCTGGTTACCCGTCCCTCTGTCATCTCAGGAGGTGCRAAGTGGATTAATTTGTGTTCAGGACTGGCAATGGGATTTAGTGCCATGSTCTGGTTGACAAGTGGGGAAAGGTCAAAGGTTGACTCGATGTCAGAGGTCTTTTCTGACATAAGTGAATATGTGGTTATGATTTAAATATAAGCTGGCACCAGCATACGATTATGTGGATTCACCTGTATGACACCAAAAGGGCAGCCCAGCTCCTTCACCTCGCAGTATCTCRCCCTCAAGTCATACAGCTGAGTTTTGTGACCTGAGAACTAATTTCTGTTTCTCCCCTATTGGGGAAAACCAGGCGATTAAGGAACTGAACAAGCATCAGAGCCACTGAAGGGAAGCAGCAGGAATAAATACTTGGAAGCAGAGTGGAAGTGATTACAAAAGCCAACCTCTCTGCTGCACTAGATCAAAACCACTGAAAAACTTTAAAAGAGAACCTCACCTTCTTTATCCTTTAGAAYAGGGGTAGACAAACAATGTGAAATAGATTTTTCTAGCCCTGACTTATCCTGAGAAGCCTGACCACCACACATCAACCACTAAACAGGTACTGACACCGCAGGTGCTGCTGCTCTAGCGATTCACAGATCCTACAGTGAAAACACTTAAAAAATAATGACAGACTAGCCCCAGGTGCCCCCTCAGCACGGGTCCCTCAGCCCCAACACGAAGCGTCAAGGCATGACCCCAGGCAGAAGAGTCACCYGTGCATCACTCGAGGGCAAAGCCACCTCAGCGCCCCGAGGCGGTGACGAGCCCTCAGGAAGGCTCCACACGCGCCGGGAGCAGCGGGCACSGGGCGAGGAGGATGCCCGAGGCGGACAGAGAGCGGGTCAGGGTTAGTGTGATGCCGGTGCGGATCGCTGACCTGAGGACACCGACGGGACCCTCCCGCCCCCGGCCGTGAGGGGAGCGCGCGAGGAGGGGGCGGCGGGGGGAGCTGCGCGCGCGGGCGGCGGGAAAGCCGCTGAGGGGGGAACGACAGCGCCCCCTGTCTGCGCCCCCGCCGCAACCGCCGAACCCGCAGCTCCTCCCCGGCCACTGACCTGCCGCCGCCGCCGCGGCGACACCGGCTCGGCTCGGCTCGGCTCCGCCCGGCCCGTCCGCGGCTCCGGCTCCGCCACCGTCCTCCTCAGTCCCGACGCGACACCCTGCGCGCTCCCCCTCTCCTCAGGTAAAAAAAAAAAAGCCCGGCGGCGGCGCCCGCGCGTGCGCGGCGGCGGCGGGGGCGCGCCCGGCTCTTGGCGCACGTGACTTCCTCCTGGCGGGGCGGCGCGGCGTCATGACGTCAGGCGCGGCGCCGCGGCGGGAAGTTCGGAAAGGCGGCGGCTGTCACCGGGATCTCCATCCCGACCCCGAGCCTGACTCTGATCCTGATCCCGGTGCTGGAGGTATTGGGTAGGATCGGGGTGTCCTCCCGTCCCCTGGGAGTGCTGGGAGCTGCGGTGGCGGTCCCTCGGGACATTCCCCTGTGAGGYGGCTCTGGCGCTGACGGCAATGCCGGGGGATGAAGGGTTGGGAAGGGGCTSTGTGGAGGCGGCGGCTTTGACAGCGGCGGCTCCGTGTGTTCGGCGCGTCCCGGTGCCCCGGCGTTCCCTCGGGAGTCATCCCAAGGGTTCCCATTGATCCAGCTGCTGGAATGGCTTCAGGAATAACGCTGTCCCAAAAGGGCTGTTCGTTTCCAAGGATTTGCACCTTATGAAGCACCCGAGGAGGTTGCAACCATAAGAAACAGCGCGATTCTTCCTCCCTTTTCTTTATGTAAACCGTTTCTCACTAATCCAAAGGGTATTAAAAATTATTTTAAATTGTATCATGGTCTATCTTCTCCCTTTTCTTCATATAAACCGTTTCTCACTAATCCAAAAGGTATTAAAAAATTATTTTAAATTGTATCATGGTCTATCTTGAAATATGCAAAGAGGTTTAACTTCACGGGAAGCTGGTTTCAGTCAGTTATTTTTTGCATGAGTTAAACATGCATGGCCAACTCAACACCTGGAACAAAATAATTCTGGTAACGGCTTCTCTGTTTTTTTGTTTTTTGGGATTTTTTTTTTCTGCAAGTAAACTTTTGATGTTTCAATTCAGATAATTCTGAATAAGAGTATTCAGAGTTGCCAGCCATTCATTTAAGTGAATGAATTTGTCTAAAAGCTAGAAAATACCTTGACATCTCTAAAAAAAGCATTTTTTTTTTCCAACAGTCTGTTAGATTGTTTTTGAGGTTTCTCTTTAAAATGCCCAGAGCAGCTCTACCCCACTGGTTTGATYTGTCTTGTACCTCACTCTTTTCTTTTGAGGGGGTAAAATAATTTTTGTGCATGTTTTCTTTACAGCTCTGGTGCCTCCTGACCATCTTCCTGTCTCTCAGGCTGTGTGAAGATGTAGATATTTGTGAAATAAGCTGTTGGATGACTGTGTTGCCAAAGCAATGGCCTCTCAAGAATTTACTGTGAGTGATTTTCAACGCTTTCTACAATGAAGTAGGAATAAGTTTAAAGACTTTAGCTGCTGAAGTATTTGAACAKTTTCTTACTTCTTGTTTTTTTTCAATATATTACGTATTTAAAACAGGTGTTATACACTCACCAAAAGATGAAAAAATCAAAAACATGGCAAGATGGAATTCTTCGAGTTAGAACTGGCAGAAATCAGGTGAAAATTCAGACTTTAAACTGTTTAATTTAATATCATCTGCTCCTGCTGAACTGCCAGTGGCAGTCTAATTGATTTCTGAAATAACTGAAATAATTATTTAAAATCTTWTTTTTATATTGCAGGCTACCTTGTTTGATGATAAAGGACAATGTCTGGAGAGTATTTTTATAAAATCTCAGGTATATTTTGTTTGGAGTTGTTCCTTTTATATCTGATTGTAGTTTGTATTTCAGGCAGCATTTCAAATACCTGTTTGGTAGCTCAAATAGTAACTTTTCTTCTTGTTGATATAAAACTGCTACAGTGCAAATAATGGAAAGGGAAAACAGCTATTTATTRATAAATCTTACTGTTTGTCCAGAAGGTTTAATGGATTTTTTTTCTTCCATTGGGATAAAAGCAGTGTATTACACTGATGTATGAAATAATCATTGAAGAAGAGTGCTAATACTTTCTAGAATATCTATAAAAATAAAAGTATGACATGGCATCTGTGATATACTGGGTGTAAATACCTCAATTTTTACATATAAGTACTTAAAAGATTATATTTATTTAAAATAAATACATATATTATTGTTTCTTATCTAGCACTATCATGTGCACACTGCTGCTCTCTCTTTYCCAGGTGGCTGCTGGAGATGATTTAGAAACTGAACGATATTTAATCACAATTGAAGCAGTCAAAGTGAGTGAAAAGCCCTCTGAAGATCAGCCCAAGAAAGCAGAAGCTCCAGCAGTGAATAGAAATTGTGTAAAACCTGGTCTGCTGCCCCCAAGACATCTCCCTGTGGGCTTGAAAAGGAAGTTTACGGTGGGTTTTTGTTCCAGATTTTTATGTCTCATAGAAATTCACATGCATTTTAAAATGCTGAGGACACGTATTTTCACAAATAGTAAATATATACATAATTTATTCCTGCTTTTTTTCTTTTTGAATTGTAATCCAGAATGTGTTCCCTAATGTGTAATCCTAAATGTTCCACATTGAGGAAATTTGATTTAGGAGGATTGCTATTGTTGAGTCTGCAGTAAAAATCACAAGGCTTGAGGTTGTTTCTATGCACCTTTGGAATCCTCATGTGGATTTGATCAGAATATATTTCCAGGCCTTTTGATCAGAACGTATTACATGGAGTCTACCCAATTCTCAACATTTGATTACAAAACGTGGATTAATTTAAAATTTCTSTCCTAGGGGTTCCAGGTGCCACGCCAAGTTGAAAAGAAAATACCAGCCATGGAAGATGARGAAAAAACACCACTGTTGCCTTCATCTAAGCAGTGCCAAGGGAGTTTTCCATCCCAGTTTTATATCAGCTCTCCTTTATTTTCTACCATTCGCAAGAAAGATGCAGAAACAAATCCCTGTGCTGGCTTTCAGGAGGAGGGATGCAGGGACAATGACAGAGGACACGTGTCTGTGTCCTCACTGCTCTCAGCTCCATTTCCTGACAGATGTGAGGAGACAGAGAAGCAAAACCCTGATCAGTTTGTTGTGAAGCCAGAATCCCCTGTCATTACTGGGCACCCCGGACCCGGGGCAGTGTCCCACCACATCCGGAGCACTGCACAGATAATTGCTCTTCTGAAGTCTAAGCCAGCACAAGGACACAGACAGCAAAGCCCTGGGGTCACAGGTTGTCTTTCCAGGTTTCAGGCAGCAGAAAACACACATTTATTTGACAAAAAAACTCCTGACCTACCCTTGCCTGCTTTTTTAGGCAACCCTGCCCAAGGACTTGTTTCAGATACTCTGCACCTGCATTGTATACAGGGAACTGTAAATGATAAAAAGGACTGGAATGCTGAAACACTTCCAAATTCAGCTGAACGACCTTGTGGTGAAGAAGTCACAGGACAGAGACAAGATGAAAAGGTAAATAATTTAAGTCAAGATTTACAAGATCACTGCAACACAAATAGTTSCTTCCTACCTGAGCCCACCCTAAGTAGAATGAGTGACAGTCAGTTTGTCCCATCCTCAGGTGACATTTCATGTTCAGGAAGTCCAAACACCCTTGAAAACAATCCCTTTGGATACAGGGAGCATTCAGGGACTGACAGTCTTAGGGAGARTTCATCTGAAGGAATTCATTCATCTGAGCTTCATCCAAGACAAAATCCAGAGGGTGTGTCCAGTGACCTGGAACTCTCTGGGGATGTGACAGTGACTGAAGCTGGAAATGGGAAGGAGGAATTCAGTTTGCATGGCAAAGACTGCAGTCCAGGTGACAAACTGATGGAGATTAACTTTAACCTAATGGAGACTTTTGATTTTAACGACACAGACAGTGAAGACGTGTGGGAAAGAGAAGTGAAGGAGCTCACTGAGGGAGGAACACCTTCACAGAGCCCAGGTTGCTTAAAGGGAGATGTAGCACAAGATGCCTCAAGGCCTCATTCTTGCTGTGAAGAGACACACAGCAAAARTGAAGTCAAATGTTCACATTTTGATGGAGATGGGGGTACACCACCCCAGCTTTGTGACAATGATGCCAGGAGAGCTGCAGGAGACTCTGCAAACCAGACCAGAACCGAAGTGGAACTTTCAGGTGATGGACACAACATAACAGAGATCCATGAGAATCAATTAAGTTTTGAAGCCACAAACAAGGAGGAGGATCTGGATGGCAGTGCAGCACTCACCATTGATGGCACATCATGGATAAAAAAMCAGCACTCTGATCTCTTGCCTGATGGCACCATTGTTAATGAATGTCACCCTGAAACCAGTGTGTATGAGGGAAATGGAAGTATTCTGGGTACTTCTCCCAGCAGAATGATTTCTACCATGGACAGAAAGTCCCAGGAAGGAGTGACACAGCTTGGATGCATGGACTCCTCAGATGGTGGCTCAGAGCTCTGCTGGGGTACTAAGAGTGATGACATTAAACCAGGTAGCCCTCTGCTGGCTTTGTCACAAAAATCAGATCCTTTAGCAACAGGTTTTTCATCTCCAGAGAAAACAAGAGTAGGAGAMAGTGAGTTGGAAAATGTAGAGAGTGTAAGTGCCTCTCCCAAAGGCTGCAAAGATGAAACAATAGGAGTGGATTGTCTGAAATGCACAGCAGTGAATGAGAATTCCTCAGGTCTCCCTGATTTGGTGAATGATATTGCTCTGCTGAGAGCTTTGACTGAACACAGCACAGCTCTAGAGAGCTTGCAAAAGATGGAGGAAAATGACAGCATGTTCTGTGAAACAGATACTTCWGAGGAGACACTTGAACCCCTTGAGAAGGATGAAGGTTAGGTCAGCTTGTATTTTAAAGTGAATTCTCTATGCCTGTACCTGTTTGACTACTGTACTCTTATTTCTCTTCGTATTTAGAAATACTTCTAGAGTGATGTGCCATGTAGGTTCCCTTGTGCAGTTTTTAGAGTTCAAAGCTCCAAGTCTCTGTTTGCACTCATTCAGTTAAATCCTAACTGTGCAATCCATTGCATRGTAATGTACATGGCAATACCAGTAAATACTCAGATGTTTTCATGTAAAAACCTCTGAACTACTGACTATAACTCACTGTGCTTTTCCATCTCTTGTAGCTATAAAAGAGTTTACAGAAATGCCTTACTCAGAAAGTTTACAGGCATCTTCCTGTTCATACTTTGATTCTCCTGATCTAATGGTAACCAATTTTTGACTACATATATATTTATCTGTACAAGATAAATTAATTTTCCACCTGGCTTCTGGAATAAAGTTCTTGGTTAATGGAACCATAGAGGCTGAGCTACAAATTGCTTAGAGGCATTGGTTATGAAGCTGGTAATAAACAGAGGATGTCCTCTGGCTAATAAATATTSAGGGAGCCTCATGTATGACAAGAAATTTAACTCAAATTGTAGTATTTAGTCATGTTTAATATCCCATTTATATGTCTGGTACTTYTCCTTCCCTACCCCATCTTTTACCACCTGTCATTTTTCACTGTCTTTTGTTTTTTATTTTAGCATTTAGGTTGAAATACACCAAGAAAATTGTTTTATGTCTGATGATTCAYATTGATTTTTGTCCAGTCCTATTAGTAGCTTTTTTTTTACCCATGTAAAGCATAAAGAAAGATTTTAGGTTAAATCCTTATCTTTTTCCTGTCCTGTTTGAAAAGCAAACATAGTTTCTGTTATGGATGGTCCTGACTTCCAAATAAAAAGGCTGTAACTGAAAACACCTCCTTTGTGTAAATCCAAGACATTTCTTAGCTTGAATTTCCACTTTAGATGGTTATTAAATTGTTAGACTAATTTGTTTTTGATACTTTCATATGCAGCCCAACTGTGTGGACAATTTATTCCAGAAGACAGAGGCATATATTGTACCAATAGCAGCAGCCCAAAGAGACCCTGGGAGAACTGACTGGCAACCAAAGGTACCATTTCTGTGGAACTGAAATGTAATTCATGATGTTTCTTAAATTTCAGTTAAATGGCTTGCTAACTGTAATACATTATAGTAAGTTCTAACAAAATTTTTAACAGTTATTGTAACTTTAGTATCTTTCACTGTGGGAATTTTTCCAGGGAAAACTCCAAATTACAAGGAAAAAAACCCAGGTTTTTTTGTTTCTCTTCTGCACCCAACAGGTAATTTTTGTTGTCTGTGCAAAAAGTACYTGTATTGACTGTAGATAGTTGCAGAGCAGTTTTTCCTTGCTGTCAGTGATAATTCCAATGCATTGTGTAGMCTGTTGCCTTCCAAGGGCACCAAGTGAAAGGATCAGCAGCTAGTGAGGTCATGTTGAGAGCTCCATGCTCCCAGCTAGGATGGCAGCAGTACCCAGACAACATGGACTTTGCAGCTCAGACATTTTTCTCACCCCTCTTTACAAGGAATTATGACCTTTACRACTTCAGACAGGTAAAACATTTTTTTTCAGTTATCTTTACTAACCTCAGTGCAAAAAACTATCCTGACAATTTACAATTAAAGCCAGTTCATTTTTAGACTGCTACAATTATATCAAAATCAGTTATTTTTACTTACCTTTCTCATAGAATTTCATAATATATGACTTGGTTCTTTCTGCTCCTCTGATCAGTTGCCCTTTGAAAAATAGAAGAGAAACACTTTAATTTCTAACAAGTTACTGCTTATATATATTTTTTATAAAGTCCCCAAGTTCTAGGAGCCTTCATAAGGATGATATTAATGTTATCAGAGAAGGAAATTTTCAAATGAAGCAGGATGTTATTGAAGAGCCAGGAATAAATCAGTCCTGTAAGTGGAAGTGAAAGGAGAAGGGGAGGAATTTGCCTCAAAATTTCTGCATGCCTTCAGTCCTTCACGTGTTTTTCCTAGCATTGGCATTGGATGTGTGTCCCCAAGTGCCACCATGGACAATGGCAGGCTCACCWTTGCACTTGGACATGAGACAAGCACAGTGGACTCCCTGGGAACCTGGCAAGGTGTGGACTGACTCACTCTTGCAGATATTTTTGGCTTTATTTCCTGGGTGTTCGTGGCAATTCTTTACTTTTGAAGGTGTTTTATCTCAGCTCTGAGAGACATTTCAATTGTTTAGAATGATGAGAGAAAATAGTGATAACAGAGCTATAATCAAGGTTAATTCTTCACCTCTAGATACCATCAGAACTGATTTCCCCACTTGATCCAGACTCAACAATTGCTCCAGCTTCAGGAAATGAGGAGACTATTGAAGACATCCGGGAGCCCCTGATGCATGGGATCTTCCCCCATGAACCAGAACTTCCAGATCTTCTTTTCAGTAAGAAATTATAGTTTATACTGGCACAGTGTTTGACCTGGAAAATCTCTGAGCATTCTTGAGGCATAATGAATGGGGCTATCATAGACAGTTACTCTGCCAATTCTATTCTCCTGAAAGAGACTTCAGTAGAGGGATTTAGTTTTATAAAGGAAAATCAGCTTCTAGTTTGGGGGCAAAAAGGCTGTAAGCCAAGCTTCTAAATGATACTTATGTTTTTATTTACCTGCTTTTCTTTTTCTTCCATATTCAGCTGTTGTCTGASCCACTTCCATTTGACACCTATCAATGACTGTAATTATTGATAATTAATTTAGTCAAAAGGATGGGTTTTGGTATTAAGAGCTTATTTATCTGCATTGTTTAATGCTAATTCATAGTTTGTGGGTGATCTTTTGGGATAAGCAGCAAATCTTAACCTGGGTGTTTTCTAGTTGGCAGCTGCTAGTCACTTATCTAGAATATCAAATTAATGATCTCCAAGCAGAATGGCTATTCAGAATGTGTTCTGAATATGGAGATTTAAAAGAATTAAAACTAATTAAAATAATCACACATGGTATATGGAATTTTAATGTAACACTGCACAGGCACGATCCACACAGCTTCCCATAGAAGACAGGAGTGTAAAAGGAAGAACTTAGAATTCCTTCCTATCTTTTTGTATATTTGAAGTGCCATCTGTAGGTGCTACAAGTTGCTTGTAAAATGTATTTGTCCTACAGCCCGGGAGAAATCCAGCTATCCAGAGGAATGCAGCCTCCCAGGAATCAGGCCCATGATAAAACCACGAACTCCTTTTGTCACTCTGCCTGCCACTGAGGAGATTCCTGATGTGTTTTACCCCACTGAGAGYGAGGAGGTCCAGCAACCTTTGGGCTCTTCAGGAGGCAATTTGTGCATGGAGTCAGTGGCATTTCCTAGGAGTGCTCCTGGCCCCGAGGACAGGAATTATGAAACCTCTGTGTTTGGGGAGTACACGGAAGACARACAAAGGGAATCTGTACCAGCAGTGCTCCCTAAAGTGACTTCCCATCCCAGACAAAGCAAGTGGCTGAAGTACCAAAACAGTGCTCAGTGTGATTTGATCCCTGCAAACAGCGCTGACKGGGAAGAGAATGATGACATCTGTGCCCAGAGCATCCTCAGAATGCCGCCAGGTGACACAGGAGAGGGCAGAGCCATGAATCCAAGTGCTCCCAGTTCTGCACTGCTGCTGCCAGCCAGGAGCTCGCCTGGGGAATGCTGTGCAAACACCAGCCCCCCAGATCTGATTTCAGAGGGGAAGGTACTTTCCCTGCACTTAAGSCAGACACCTTTGGCTGCTGCCACACAAAAGGTGTTGAGTCACCTGAGCTGCCACACCGGAACAGGAGACGGCCAGGTGTGTAACTGTTCAAGCAAACACAGCTATCACTGACAGAAACACATTTCTCTGGCCAAATTGACTGCTTTTATCTGATTGCCTGCAAGATATTATCAGTGTGATTGGGTAAAATGTTTCTTCAGAACACACACAAAAAAAAAGTATTTTTTTAAGTGCCGTGAGTAATCCTTGTAAAGGTAATTTCTTGGCACACACAGTGCCAGATTTAGATTTTCAATCTGAGTGTTGATGGCAAGAAGATGAAAGAAAAGCTGTYGGCCTGTTTTGTCATCTGTAATTGGTATGAAACTGTTTGCATGAAAGGTATTTCTTAATTGTGGTATCACCATCATTTTAATGAATACTTATTTTTGCTTCAAGGCATAGTCTCTGACTTCAAAATACTATAAATTCCTTCAGTTTTAGTTGTGTAAAAGTTAGCAGCACTGAATAAGCACCTACCAATTTAGCACAGCTGGTTGTGACCAGTTGAAAAATGGAGTAAATTGGGAAAGAACTCCAAACCAACCAAAAGTCAAGTTTAAAAAGTTGTCAGATGACTGGTTTGAGAGTTGAAGAAAATGTTAGCTTTTTCCTTTTTTTTTAATGTTTTTTTCATTCTTTAAAACTGTCTGTCCAGTACAATATTTGTGTGAAACAGAGGTATGAAAAATATTTCGTATATATATTTCATATATACACTGATATACATGTGTGTTTTTATACATATATATATATATAAATATATAAATCCAAATATACTGGATTTAAAAAGAAGTGTTATAAAGACAGTTGTCATTATGCTTAATTTATTTCCATGCAAAAGTGGTGTTTAAAATGGGGTTGTGTGCTTCTTCCCCATGCCTAGTGCTGAAAAATATGATTTTGAACCATATCATTTACTCTAAAGCCTTTAGAAGTATTACCTGTGTTATTATAAATGCAGGCTGTTKGTCAAGGGGCAAATTTTAATCTCGTGGTGCATCCTAAATGGCAGCCCAAGCTCTAGGGATGCRTATTTTCACAAATCTGCAGTATTTGTTTCATTCAAGGTCTTRCAGGTTTTAATGGTTTATTTTCCTGGGTCTTTTTAGGACATAACAATTTCTGAGTTGTCTTTTCCTCCTGTGGATAAAGTGAAACAGGCCAATCTTCCTAAAAGAAAGATTTCCATCCCACCTGTGTTCCAGTCTCACACTCACTACAAACAGGTTTTTAAAGCTGCTCTGACAGGTAAGTCTCATACTCTGCTCTGTAAAATGCTGTCATTTTTAAACAATGCATTTCTGAAGATCCACAAAGCAGGGTAAGAGGCAGAGAAATCCTCAACAACAACTGGGTGCATTTGGTTTTAGATAGATAGATAGATAGATAGATAGATAGATAGATAGATAGATAGATAGATAGATAGATAGATAGATACTAAAATATAATCAGTCTATACCCAAGATTGCAAAGACAAACCAAAAGGACAGTACCCTTCTGTTCAACTCTGTAACTTCCTGCTGTTTTCCAGTCCTAAGATTCCTAAGCTTTTTTACCCCTGCACTAAGTGCATTTTGCATGTCACAGTTACTTTTAAGACTCAGATTAAATATTTTGATTTGGGGTTGAAATCTCCCAGTGAAAATACATTTGTTTGAATGTTGTGTACCTGTGCAAGCATTTTGAGGCTGTACTAATTATTCTGTTGTGCTCTTTCCCTTCTCAGAGCAATTGAACATAATGCTGTTTGAGTTGGCACAGAGACTGCACCATGCCCTCTCCAAAGTGGATATATCATTTTACACTTCAGTGAAAGATGGCCAAAGCCAGAGCCAAGGAAGCTGTGCTCCAGTCTGCAACCACGGGCACCCTGCTAAGCTGGTGATGGTTAAAAAAGAAGGTCAAAACAAGGTGCTGTTTATTCCTTGTCGTTTTACAGTTTGGGGTGAAGTGTTGGTCAATTGTTTTTTGGGTTTTTTTTTCTTGGTTGTTTTAGTGCTCATGGACTTTTTTTTTTCACTCCCTTCCCTTGCAGGGTCGTTTGTTCTATGCCTGTGATGCCCCAAAAGCTGAGCAGTGTTCCTTTTTCAAGTGGATTGAAGATGTGAACCCCACACAGACAAAATCCAGACCGAGYGCAGTGCTCCATGATACAAAAAGTATTGGGACATACCTCAGGAGTCAAAAGATTGCTGTCTATGAGGAATGCCAGCTTTTGGTGAGGTATTCTGCAATGTTGTGCACTTCTTTCAAGGCCTGTGTGAGTTCAGGGATTATAAATATTCCAGTAGCTCAGGATTTCAGCAGGATTTAACAMRTTTTCATTATATTTAAAGASTAAAGATCTCCTTCTGTAAAAAAATGCAAGAGCCAAATTAGTGAAGGAAAAATATTTATAGCAATGGTATTTCTTTTTAGCAAGAATGAAACTGCTTACCAGCAATTTGATCAATTGCTTAATGTTRCAATTGCTGCATGTGAATTGTTGTTCATTTAATCTTTAGTAAGAGAATTTGATTTATTCTCATCAAGATTGTAATTTTAATGTCAGAAATCATCATGTCAATTTAATTGTGGCTGAATATGAGGGAATTTTGCAGTCAAGATAAATGTATTTAAAACTTGTTAATCTAAGTCCAGTCTGTGGAGCTGTCTTGGTTTTGGTGTTGAATCCAAAATGTACCTATTGTTTACATACTTTTTTTTTTATTTTTAAATTACAATTTCCCAGGAAAGCCTTTGAAATTCCAGCACAGCGGTACAGTAAGTTCAAGAAATTTATGAATACCCCTGCCAGCTTTGATGGTGACTCCAAAGCCAAATTATACCTGAAACTAAGCAGAAAGGAGCATTCTTCTCTCTACAGCAAAGGTAAGCACATCYTAAACATCAGGCATAAAAGGTGGCAGTAGGACAAGCTTATGAGGACTCTGTATTTTTTTGCCAGATGACATCTGGGTTGTTTCAAAGACTCTGAACTTTGATCCCATCGATACTTTCATTGCAAGCAGTGCTTTCTTTGGCCCATCCTCCAACAATGAAATAGAATTGGTACCACTGAAAGGCTACAGTCCCTCAAACTGGAGATCAAACAGTGAGTTCTACAGCAAATCTTCAGAATTGTGAGAAACAACCAAGGAAAAATCCAGCCAGCAATGAAGGATGAGTTTAGAATTTCTCAAATCTCGTGCATTATTTAATTCACAGTATTTTTTTTCTTATGTGTTTTCAATATATAATTTGAATGCAGTAATTAATGCAATAAAACCTGCAAAGTAGCTGGTAAATTCCAAATGAGTGGAGAAGAAATGAGAATAATATAAATGAAGTACTAAATAATGTAATAAAGAACACAAATTGACTGTCACAATGTAAGTAACAGGAGTATGTTTTTACTCTCCTTGCAAAACAAAATRCAGAAAACTCAAACAACTCACTGGAAAATTTATATTTACATAAAAAGCCATGTATTAAATCTGTCATTCTGCAAAAGTTTCTTGGTTTTGCTGTTGAATTGAGCAAAGCTTTGGGATTGTTGTTTTGTAGATGAAGCAGATAAAAACAGTTAATTATTCATTTGGCCTTATAGAATTAATTAATTTAGCTGTCATTAAATTTTGGTTCATTGAATTTCTTTCTCATTTTGTTTTTCTGTGGCCTTTCCAGTGTGTGTTCATGCCTTGCTGGTTTGTAATGCCAGTGGTGAGCTRGCATCCTTAAGAAACATGGAGGAGCACTTTAATCCATCCACATTACCACTGATCCCATATCTCCTGAAAATGTGAGTTACTGTTCTGTGATACTGTGGGCAGCAGTTAAGCATAGGAACRTCAGAACTAGGAGATAAAAATTATATCACAATTTCTGGCTATTTTTTCTTAGGGATTTTAATTCTGAAAATGCTACTAAAAGAGTCAACAGAAGGAAATTTACTCCACCTGCCATGAGCCTGAAACGCTCAACGATGGCTGGCCCTGTGAGCCCTGAAGTGGCRATGGGAGTGGCTGAAGAGATGATCCAAAGGTTCTCCCTGAATCCAGACCAAGCAACATCACTGCTTCACATAGCTCGGATGATGACCTCCTGTGAAAACACCAAAGCAGGGGAAGAACATCAGAGCCTCCCCATCACAATCATACGAGGTACGCAGCAAAGAACTGGGACATTTGCTGCTATTGTGTCTTTGCAAAAATGCTGATTAACGTGAAATGCCATTAATATGAAATGATAAAATCAGCCCCTGTGATAATGATTTAGTCATTACTACATCCATTCTGTCAGCAGAGAGCTTTTGCTCCTTACATTTTCATTCTGCCTTTTGCAGGATTTCCCAGAAGCATAAGAGATTTTCCTAGAAATATCTAAACACAAAATCAGAGTTATTTAGTGTCTTCTGGTTCTTTCTTTTCATATTAAAAACACTTTTTTTCATGTATCAGCTTTGCTAAATTACAACATTTTTTTTTTTGTTAAGTGTAAGGTAACTGGTTGCCCCTGGATACTGGGAGCTGCTTTAGTAAGCCCATGCAATGTTTTTACAGGAATCACAGCATAACTGAAGTGCAAGCAATTGATTCAAACTTTATACAAGTTTTCACTTATAACTTGGGCTTTTMTTCCAAAATACCAGGTGTTTTTGGAGCTGGCAAGAGCTACCTGCTGTCTGTGGTGATCCTGTTCCTCGTGCAGCTCTTTGAAAGCAGTGAAGCTACAGAAGGTCCAAGGGCAACTCCATGGAAACTTCTCATTGCTTCTTCCACCAACGTTGCTGTGGACAGGATACTGCTGGGGTGGGTGACTGAGGCTTTTACTGACTCCTCTTCTGAAAACAAAAATAACACAATGGTTACGTGGTAGCAATAATTGTGTTGGTATTTCCTGTAAAACACTTCAGAAAGACTGGTTTCTTTCCCTAAAAGGTGTCACATATGGGCTTTAATTTTACCTTTGCTCTTTTGCACAATTAAAAGAGTGAAAGCTGCATAAAAAATTTACAGAAGACTGTTAGCTTCTACTCTCATCAAACTTACCATTAAAAGACACCATGACAAAGTAATACTGCTCAGGAATCTCTGGGATAGAGCAGGAGGGGAAGGAGGGATACAGAGAATCAAATTGGTGAAAATTCAGCATGAATTTAACATCAAATAAAAAATTCATGGTTTGGAAAGAAAAAGGAAGGGAACATACATATGGAAAACTATGAGAGGGGAATAATTAAAGCCTTAAGCAATTTTGAGGCAAATCATGATGAAGTAATTTATTTTGATTTTCTTCAATTACTGAGGTACTTCATCTGGTTTACCACCGAAGTTTGTGTTCCTCAGTGTTCTGATATGTCTTTTAAAACCACTTTTAARGTTTTTGTTGTTTCTTTTTCCATTTTTGTAACATGTATCATCTCTTTTTTTTTCAAGTCTGCTCGATCTTGGATTTGAGGATTTTATAAGAGTGGGAAGCATAAGGAAAATCACAAAAGCAATTCTTCCCCATAGGTAAGAAACCCATTTGAGGATCTGAAGAAATTTGGTTACTACATAGTTGTAAAGTACTCTTATGCATAAAGTATGATTATCTTTCTAAAGCACTGTTATTTTCAGTTACTGTAWATAAATGTATGTTACAAAATCTTCTTTGAAGTTTACATGCAGGCTCAGGAAATGAAAATGAGCAGTTGAAAGAGCTGCTTGCACTCATGAAAGAAGATTTGACTCCAGCTGAAAAAGTATATGTCAGGAAGAGCATTGAGCAGCATAAACTGGGGACCAATAAAACTATTCTGCAACAGGTACAGTCAAAGAGATGGGATGGGAAGGCAGGGATTTGCTGTGTCTTATCCACAAGGCCTAGCACATGGAAATTGGGAATCCCTTCTCACACCTGCCAAGCGCCTGGTTTTGAAAAATAAAGTGAACATTRGGTTTGATTCCACAGGTGTAGCTTAGTGTCTTATTTCTGAAAATAAATGCAGGTGTATTCTGCTATAGTTGTGTGCTGCACAGAGATTAACTATGAAATGATCTTAACTTTTTGCCTATCCATTTTCCCCTCGCTCATGGAAGGTGAAAGTGGTTGGAGTGACCTGTGCTGCCTGCCCGTTCCCTTGTCTGAACGCTCTCAGGTTTCCTGTGGTGATGCTGGATGAGTGCAGCCAGATGACTGAACCTGCTTCTCTCCTTCCCATTGCCAGGTAGAGCATTCCTGTGGGGCTTCAGCAGGGACACAACCTCCAGGGAGTGCCAAACTGCGTCTTTTTCAGTGCATGAAACCCAAGGTCTTTCCTCAGAGAGCAAGAAGAGTAATTCTAAATTGAGGCCTGCTCTTAGGTGTTACTAAACTGGGGTGGAGAAGGGAGGCTGATGGGAAGCAATGGGATACACAGCACACACTTGGTTTATGAACAGTTTAGCATCCTTTCTAGAACTCTTTTTACTTTTTTTTCACATTTTTATTCAGGTTTCAATGTGAAAAGCTTGTCCTTGTCGGAGATCCCAAGCAGCTGCCACCAACTATTCAAGGGTCTGAGAGTGTTCATGRGCAGGGACTGGAGCAGACTCTCTTTGACCGGCTCTGCCTGATGGTAGGTGCTGCTAAACCTTTGGAAAAGGTGAAGAGTGGAACTGTAGGTCCACTGAAGTCACTAGGGAATTCTGTTTCAGCACTGTAAAATATCATAAAACCACAGAATGCTTTGGGTTGAAAGATGACCTTAAAGTCACCTAATCCATCCCCCTGTCACAGACAGAGACACATTGCACTAGAGCAGGTTGCTCTCAGCTCCATCCATGTGAACACTTCCCAACCCTAATTTCTCTATCCTCCTTCAGGGCCATAACCCAATACTCCTTCGGACACAGTACCGCTGTCACCCTGCCCTCAGTGCCATCGCCAACGAGCTGTTCTACGAAGGGAACCTCATCGATGGGATTGCTGAGGAGGACAGGACTCCTTTATTGGACTGGCTTCCAACACTGTGCTTTTATAGTGTTCATGGCATGGAGCAAGTAAGCTGCTGAACACTTCTTACACAAAATATATAAAAAGTCAATATTGTCGTTTTTTCTCCATCCTATTTCTTCTTGCATTGTTTGTGAGAACTAATTCAGGAATCTTTTTCCCTCTTTCCAGATTGAAAGAGACAACAGCTTTTATAACATGGCAGAAGCTCATTTTACAGTCAAGCTCATCCAGTCTCTGATTGCAAGTGGAATAGAAGGAGCTGCTATTGGTGTGATTACCCTGTATAAATCTCAGATGTATAAGGTTTTTATAATAAATCAATAATAAAAATCAATAAAGCAGTTTTCTTAAATGTACACAGAGTAGCCAAACTCATCCCCTTCCCCATTTCTTTGCCTACAGATCCAGAATTTGCTCAGTGGGGTTCACTCTGAGGCTTTTGAAGTCAAACCTGTCCAGGTGTCCACGGTGGACGCGTTCCAAGGTGCCGAGAGGGAAATCATCGTCCTCTCGTGTGTCAGGACAAGGCAGTTTGGGTTCATAGACTCTGAGAAGAGGATGAACGTGGCACTAACAAGGGCAAAGAGGCACCTGCTGATTGTGGGAAGTCTGTCCTGTCTGAGCAGGAACAGGCTGTGGGGAAGAGTCATTCACCACTGCAAAGGTAACCGTTACTTTGCTGGGGTTTTTGAAACCGTGCACCTCATTTTCTTTAATTAGACTGTGTAAAAAACACCTTACAGTGTTTATATACTATATAATAAYATATAAAATATATGGTATGTATGCTAGATAAACCTCTATATTCATCACATATAAAATAAAATCTTTAATATTACATAGAAAATCTAATCTATTGCAGGAAAATGCAAGAACATGCAAGTTGCACATTTGCAGTKTTACCTGCAAACTCTTTATAGTCAAAGGGGTTCTTTAATCTAGTAATGGGACTTTACCTGCTTGGCTGACATCAAGGAAAGCATCTTGTTAGTGACTGAATGCCAAAGAGCCATTTTCCAAGCAGAAACATCATAGCCAGTCAATACTCCAGGGAAATTCACGTTGGCATTGCCAGGGCTGATGCCATGATGGATGCTGTAAAGAGAGATGTAATTATCCTGTTTRTTGCTGCTTTTAGGATGGGAAAATGGATTACAACAGGCAAGCCAGTGCGAGCAGCAGCTAAATGACATTCTCAGGTCCTACTTGGAGAATTGGGAAGAAGAAGAAGAACAGAGTAAGAAAAAATAAAATGCTTGCCCTGTTTATGAACAATATATTAATTTATTGTCTATAAAATTTACCAGAGCTATTGCTCATCTAGTATTTATTTAACATGGGACATTYTTGTTTGCGCCTCAGTGCACTGATACTTCTGTTTGATCTTGCAGTTATACAACTGAAAATTAATAAAGTTATTTTATTTGGTTGAAAACCATAAATAAAGTGACGTTATCTTCTTTAGAAGTGAGATTGTTTTATGCTAACAATGTAGCTGATTGTTTTAGTGGTATTTCATTATTCTTCAGATTAAAAAACATGATAATTTAGAACAATTCAGTCAGCTTCTGTATTTACAGGTAGTCAAATCTAGGAAGAAGCTTGGCTAAAACAACTAAAAAGTCCCTTCCCCAGCTCTTGTGAAAACCTTAAGTACCATCCAGGGCATACAGGGGCTCCAGGAAAGCTGGAGGGAGATATGTCCATGTCTCAAGGGCATGGAGTGACAGGACAAGGGGGAATGCCTTCAAATGACAGAGGATGGGCCGAGGTGGGATATTAGGGATAAACTGCTCCTCATGAGAGGGGCGAGGCTCCAGCATAGGTTGCCCAGAGAAGTTGTGCCTGGAAGTGTTCAAGGCTAAGCCGGACGGTTCCTGCGGGCAGTGCTGCAGCGGTGTCGGTTCTGCCAGGTGCTCGGGAATTCCGGGAGTCCCGCACACCCCGGGCATTCCCGGTTTCCCTCCCCGTCCCCTCAGGCATTCCCCGTTTCCCTCCCCGTCCCTTCCGGCATTCCCGGTTTCCCTCCCCGTCCCTTCCGGCATTCCCGGTTTCCCTCCCCGTCCCCTCGGGCATTCCCGGTTTCCTTCCCGGTCCCCTCACGCATGCCCGGTTTCCTTCCCGGTCCCTTC